ACTAAAATGATCCCTCATAATAACCAAAGGCACAAAAAGGAAAAGACTAATCCAGCAAGACATGTATCACTCCATGTCCAGTTGAGCACACCAAAGAAGCCCAGATGCTTCAAATCAATTCATTATCACAATATATAGAACCAAAGCATGATAGTTAAAGAACCATGACAAACCCAGCAAGTAATCCTAATAAACCTTATACTTTCCACAAACATCCTAAAATTGTTGTGCAAACCATACAAGGAAAAAAAGAAGGTGAACAAAAAATTAAGGTCCACTGGTACCTTGGAATGGAACTCGTCACTCCAGCAGATTTTCTTGCCATTATCAACAGACCCGTATAAGAGGGAATCTGATTTGTCACCTTGAAGGATACCAGGTAAAACACTCTACCAAGAAAAACAGAAAAAAGTTAAAATCTTCCGATAAATTGGCAGAATAATGCATATGGGTAAGCCATGCATCTGAAAGGAATTAGAAGATCAAACATGGCCATCAAGAAGAGTACCTATCCAAAGAGATCCATACTAGCACAGTTATTTATAAGAGATGCAAGAAAATTATGCCTCAGAACCCTGTCTATATCGATTTTTAATTAAGTTCGATTCACTTCCAAATCTCCAGCTGATTAAATTCTATGATGTAATTATGTTATACTCCCTCTGTCCCATTTGAGACGCGCTTTTCTCTTTAGTCTATCCCAACAAGAACGATACCTTTCTCGTTTTGGAAACTATTTAATCTTTGTATCCCCATTTTACCCTTAATGACATGACTTGTAATAAAAGTTCATCCTTTTATAAGGAGAGAAAAAATGCAGGACATGTGGAACTCTCACCAAAACCCATCTAAAAGGATACTTTCGGTACTTCACATATCTTTGGCTTACATGTTAAAAGCCTTATTTAGTTTCTTAAGTTCCTGACCCAGTCAAGCGCCTCCACATAAAATGGTACGGAGGGGTTTAATCCAGGACAAATGTCGAGTAAGTGAAGCCACTTACTTATATTGCAGGTCTCACTTCAAAGTCAGATGCATGAAATTACAAAATTCATGAAAGATGGTTTCCCGTGGAAAACCCATGTTAATTAACACTCTGACTTTCATGTCTGAACTTATCTAACGCATTACACTACAGCATAAGACTATATAGGTAATGCAAGTTCAATAAACACCTGAGCCACCACTCTATGACCTCTATAATCAATTATCGCCATAGCAAGGTTGTATAATCCAGGGACATCAGCTTCCTGATATGATTTTGTGCCTTTCAAGTCATTATTTGCACTTGCATAAGTGGCTTGCTCACTTTCTGCCAACTGAGTTTCACCAGGCACTCCAGGAGGACAATCCAAGTTGATGTTTACAGCTTCTACAACTGAGTCGCCATGCTCATCTCCATTAGAGACTTCAGAGGCGCCCTGTGACAAATTGTTGGAGGTCTTCTCCGACAAACAATGTAATAAGCCTGTGCCCTCAACTTTAGAATCAGCTCCCTGCTTTCGGGGCAGTTGCTCGAGATCCGCATCAACAGCAAAGCTGAAGAATATATTATTGTGAACGTACCTGGATTCATACAAAAGTATCAGGCAAAAGTGACAATGAACAACTAAGGAGAATCTTTCAAGCAATCTAAACAACATTTGGCCAACAAGCATAATGTGAACAAAAATGCAGCATGCAAACGATGGATCAGGCACATTGTCAGCTCAGACAAGCAATAGAGAAGGACAGCAATGACGATCTCTCTTCTTTCTCCCCACCCTGTACCTGCCTTCTCGCCACCATTAACTCCCAATGTCCTTCTGACCGCCTTTCCACCTGGTGGATGGGCTAATGGAATAAGAGCATGTTAAATGACTGGTTTCAACTTAAGCTGTTAACCCATCCAACCGCCCATAGATTAATATGTTAAATGGCAGGTCAAAACAGACCGTACAAAATATTGGGCCAGTTTGGGGTACAAGTAGTAGCCCAAATCCAATGGTGGGAATGATGGGAATAATGATGCAATTTATGTACTAAGGGAACCAGAAAAAAAAAGGTGCACTTGCAGAATGGGATTAAGGCAACCACTGCTGCCTGATGGCTCTAAAATACTGTTTTTCTTTTACTTACGTGTATGCATTCCAACTGCCTCCACTGGTTCCTATTACCTAGCTTGGTGTTTTCTTTTCTACTTCCAACGAAGCTCGATTTAGAGGAGCTATACAACAAATTTAATGCTCTGAGTGAACTTGTAAAAGACATAGTAATGACTTTTTCTATAACCGAGAATTCCCCGATGACCAGTGGTGCACGGTTCAAAACTCGATGAATAACTGAAAAAGACATAATAATGGCTATTGCAATGCAAGAACTATAATGAACATATTTTACCCAGGTTATTTAGCTGAAGGACTTGAGTTGGCAGTTTGTTTGTGATCTGTTCTTTAACACACTTCTTCTACTCATCCCGTTTTAACCTGCCATTTGACACCCTAATGGGATATCAGTTGATACCTGATTGATATGTTCACCTTCACCAACCCTCCCCCAAGCAAAACCCCACTTTCTGTTTGTTACTTAGTTTTCCACTTTCTTGCACTATATTTTCAATTATGGAGGTCAAACTATACCATATCTGAAAGTATAAGTTAAACCATATAGTTACAAGGAAATTATTTGTTCTCATCTCCAGCTCAATACTTACATATGAAAGCACTCTGGATCAGTTGGATTAATTGGGGGGATACACCGGTTGATCACTCCAATAGCACCACTAATCGCAGCATCTACAAAGTCCGAACTGACCTTGTAAAGGGCCCTATCTCGCAGTATCCTGTGATAAAAAGGAGTTAGATGACTACACATGAACAGAGGAAACTCTACCTTCACAGACAAACTTAGGCAGAGTATTGCATACACAAGTAGAATCTATAACGGAATAAATTAATTCACTCTAGAATGCACAATTTGACTTAGATCCATCGAGATGCACCTTTCCTGGGGGTTTGTATGGGGGAATTCCCGACAAGATTGTAACTCTTCATTCCAATCCCTTTGCATGCCAATCAGCTCACTTCCAAAAGAAAGTGTAAGTGCATTCTCTGCCCGTGCTGCATCACGTTTGTGATCTGACACCAGAGAATCCAAAAAGAACTAAAACTAGTGACACCAATAATATTTAAAAGAAAGATAATTGTAAGAGAATGAAAAGTAACAGTTTTTAAGTTATTAGTTATTAACATAAAATTGTCTCCACATACAAGTCCCTCATTGTCATAGAGGAACTGAGGAATAATAATCCCTCCGCCCATCTTATACAAATGCTACTCTAACTTATGCATTATATAAGTTATCGTGGATACATTATGTAATATATTAGTGATGATGACAAAGATTAAAATAACACTTGCAAAGTTAGTTCAGCAGAGAACGCATCATATCAAGATTAAATTTTGAATAATTAAATCAGTTTTTTAATTTTTGAAATTTGTGAAATCATGTTTCTGGAATACCGACAAAACATTTTGGGACATCGCAAGGGAAGAGTTTTCATATAAAGAGGGACGGAGGAAGTTGTAAGAATGAAAAGTGACACATCTTTAAGATATGAGACGCGAACATAAATTTGATTACATGGAAGTCCCTGGAATTATTCTACTCTACACAGGAGCAGAAAGGACACATGGCCACCTATGCCTGCACAACATTATAAACACTGGAAATCAACATGCAATATCCCAAGATTAGAAACCACAATGAAGGATTGCAAACTCGATTCTGTTGATTCACTGTCCATTTGTCCTTAAACCGGATGTTTGGTCAACGACTTTGATATTCCTTCACACAAGGTTCTTAATCCTTGAGGGTATTATAAAGTTGGATTTTAGATTGATGTTCGGCATTTACTATATCAAATCAAACGTGATAGTTTTGACACCTCACCATTAATATAATCTAATATTTCATATGTTTTATAAATATATTTCAAAATGCCCTGGGAATAAAACTGATCTTTTGAAGTGTTCAAATTTGAAATAAAGGGACATGTTCAACATGCAGCGGACATAACTTCACACATAAGGAAGGCAATTAAAACATGATTAACCACCTGTCAGACAAATTCTACATCAGGTCCAACTGACAAAGACCTTGCAAGTCATCGTAACTCGCACTTTTCAACTATATGGTCCACTAATTAAGTATTATTACAGATTGCAACAGGCTTTCTAGGATTTCTAACACCACTAAGTATGCCAAATTTTTGGCATCTATGTGACCCAGCATCCACCTACCTCATCTGTATGTGTACACAACATACACCAACATGAACTAAAGATAACCAACGGTTAAGAATGCATCAGAAACAACTTACCAGGGATAGGATATGACCCAAGCCACGAATTTGGTGGTAGCATAGATTGAACANAGTGCTGGAATTAACATAAAATGTTTTGGTTGTTCCAGTAACACAATACTTATTTCCTTCTAGTGTTACTACATCCAAATAAATCAAGTCTCCAGAAAGCCTGTATGCAGGAGAAACCAAAGTCAGCATGTCACATGAACCTCCCTGACGAAAAATCAATTTGATGATCATCATAAGATAAATAATTATAAACCTTCTGTAGCTAGGAGGAGGATTAAACGAAGAGAACACAATGCTCTCAACACATTTAGTTTCCTTTGAAGGTGCTGCCAACAAGCTAGAGACTGAACCAGAAACATCCTCCACAAAACCCAAGTTTTCAAGTTCAGGTACATCGGCTTTCATAGGCTCTAAAACATAAAAAGCCAGAAATCTTTGTTATGCCTATCCAATTGATAAATGGCCATCAAATTAGTAAACAAAATGAATATAAAAGAGAAGGAAAAAGAACAACAGCTGAATAGCAAACCTCCAGATTTCTCGTTGTTACTTCCCATTTCATGCTGCAGTGCAAGTGATGTTGATAGTGAGGAATGCAATGTGGAAAGAGAGAGCAATTCTCGAGTACGGTGAACATGAGCTCTTATGGATCGATCATCGTACAGTGCTGCAACAATCAGGTTTAAGAGGAAACAAGTATAAGCTCATTGATAACAGTTAAAAATAATAACTAGCAGACCAAGTAAATAAGCCACACCTGGCACCATCTCCAGGAAGCAGTCTCCTGTGGTGATATCAGCTACTTCGGAGATTTCATTATAATCTTCCAGATGATGAACAGAACCATCCTTTATATGCAGCAATAGATCATAGCATGTAACGAAGCATGTCTCTGGAGCATCAAGAAGAAACTGCCGCACATCCATAACAGAATCCCCAGGACTCAACTGCAAACAAGTACACATCAGAACATCAAATATTAGACAAACTAACTCACTAGCACCACAAATATTTAAATATAAGGTGGACCTAAATGCCTAAACATAAACACCTACACATAAAGGCAGGATTACAAATGACAAGTAGCTCAGAACATCAAGAAACAAAGAGAAAGAGTGGTTTTTCATGATTATGACAATCCAGATACAAAATATAATTGCACAATGGAACATACGAACGAAACTTCTTATCTATGCCATGAGAGAATTCTAGCCACTCTCTTAATCTGGAGGATGAAGCCATCTTCAAAAGAAAATGATAAAGAAAGTAACAAGTATTGCGACACAGCCATCAATAAGAAATAAAAAGCCAAGAAAATTAGTAATGCATCTTACTTGTAGCTCTAGCTTATCCCCTCCTTGGGTTTTAACAGTAACAGGATAGAGATGGATGTCACCTGCAATAAATTAAAGCAGAATCGCCCTTCATTTCCTCCAATATGTAGAGCTAGAAAGAAGTTTAAACTATTAAATAAAAGTCATACAAGAATGTAAAATAGTTATCTTCAAGTAATATGAAAAAGTGTAACTGGAAGAGAACCTAGACTTATTAAGTATGAGTTTGAGGATGTGTGTGGCATTTACATGACCAACAATTACATAAGAAGAAAAGGTAGACAGTTTGACAAGAATAACAAACATGGGAAAAAGAGTTCCAATGACGCTAGCACTATACATTGTTTTATATTCAAAATGACACATATGGCAGAGATCCAGAATAAAACAAGGCACGTTTCATGGAGCATACCAGAAGTAGGCACATCAAGTATCCTATGCACTAGCCACTCTCATAAAATCTTTTCCTTTGAAGGATCATCTAACTGACATAGGATTTGAGAGAAGAGTTACTGTTCACCATGTGCTTCATCAGCTTATTAAAGGAATGATGAGAAGGTTTCCAGGAGGAATATAATTAAAGAACATAGCAAACAGATTGCATTCACATATTACGTAATAGATCTCATGACACATCTATTAACAGCTTTTATCTCCAAGACTGAAAAAACAGTTCCTTTCTTCTTTGTTTTTCTCTTTCTCCTATTTTGGATAAATTGAAAGCAAAAACAACAGATGAGGGCATTTTTTCTTCTAATAAACCTTTGGTGCATCCAAGAGGTTCTGATAAGTATAAATGACTGCCTGCCTTTATGCATACCACCGGGAATTTCCAACCGCATGAATAAAAGCTGAATCGACAATGTGGACACCGATTCATTCCATAGCAGAACAGTTCCAAACTTTTTGATAGGTAAAGGATATGTTTATTAATTACCGGCATAAAGTGAGTGCTGGAGAATATGTACAATGTAGCAACATTACAAGTTGCAATTATTTGTGTATTTTCATGATCCTTCAAATATACTGCATCATATATCTGTCTCTCTCCCACCTCCAGATACAATTTTGTAAAACCAGCAACCGTATTTACATATTAAATTAAAATTTTATGTTACCACGTTCACCTTGCTTTGCCTCGTGTCCAGAGGTCCCATTTCCAGACTCTGTTGCCTCCGTCTTTGTATCAGTTGGTGGAGTCACACCTGTTGTTCCATTAGCCTCCGCATGCGTTGCAGTATCATTCACCGGAGCATCAGAAGGTGCTGCTTGCTCTGACGAACTGGCAGTGGTCAGATTTTGAACTGCCTTCCTATTCTTCCCTTTGTTTGATTTCCCGGCCATTTCTATCCCCTGAAACATACAAGAAGACGCAGTGTGACATACTAAACAATTATCAGTAGTCTAAGCGAAGAATCAAATAAAGGAAAAAGAAGTAAGAAACTTGAAACTTTTTTTCTGTTTCACTTTGAAAATGAAAAACTACAAACTCAAAATCAATATACAAATTTAAAATCAAGAAAACAACAAAAGAATCACATAATCTCCAAACTTCCAGGGATACTCGTTTGATAAATGGTCAAAAAGAGCAACATGTGAAAGTGACTCAATCTGCACAATACCAACTCAAGACAAAGAAATAAGCAATTAATCTCCACGGTAATTGAGTAAATACTCAAAAGATAAACTTGGAAAGTCACTCAACCCAAATAGTGAAGTCCAAAAACAAACATAAAAAAAAAGTGCAAAATCCAAAACAAATAAAAAGGACCGAAGTAAGCTAATTATAAGAGGTATACACATCAATATTTTAGCTTTTAATCATTTAAACACAAACAATCACCATAGTAGAAAGGAAAAATACGAGTGACCAAGAGCAAACATTAAGGAAAGTGGGGGAAAAAGTCAGTCAAACAACACTTACAGAAGGAAACTAAAGGATTGACCATGTATATTACCTAGAAGGGAATCACTAGCAATTGCAAGAGACCGATGGCCGATTGTTGGCAGGTGGGTGGGTAGACAGAGGTTTTAGCAATTAGAGGGAAAGAAAGGCTGAGAGACGGCGCGGTTTTGTTATTATTGCGACTCTGCAGTTAACGTTGCAATGGGCTTTTCTTCTTCATCGAGTCTATTTTAAAATTGGGCTTCAGTTATTGGACCTAGAACATCTTTAAAGAATTAACTTAAATATGTGTCTACTTAAATTTAAAATAGTCCCTTAGACTTAAAATAATTGATGAATATAAAATATACATATGTAATCTATGTATCGTATATGTATAATCGTATACTATATAATTTATATATACTAATGAAAAAGTAAAAATGTTAACTGTAAATTCGACTGGCTATTTGTGTGAAGATCCCAACTTCTTTTTGGGGAAAATCGACAAAATAGCAACTTTTGAGGGGTGAAGTACACAAATAGAGTTCAAAGAGGGTGGTCTTGAGTATTTTCTCCGCTTTACTCATGGGCAAAACTTCAACTTTAATAAGTATTGCCCTTCTCTTGTTCCATGCGTAATACTTTTGACTTTGAAGTTCAGCTCATAGGGCAAGCATGGATCAATAATTAAAGACAACCCCAAAATATGTCACATTTATGCAATTTTTTTTATTTTTGAGATCGCTGATCAAGATTTAATATTTTAGATTAACTCTTCTAGATGATCAAAACCCTAGATTCATTTTACATATAGAGTTTTTTTTTTTTATGTACAATTTATGTGGTATCTTTTGTATGTGTATATTGAATTTTTGGGATGCATACTCAACAGTTTGGTTATTGAAAAGATGAATAGTTTATTTGAGACTTATAGTCTGTTTGGCCAAGCTGTCAAAAATAACTTCTTTTTTTGGGTAATTAAATCCTTATATTAATCACCAAGTAATATCTACAAAGCAATAGGTCAGCTCAACCTAACTTCCTTACTGGATACAATCAATCTATCCTCCATCTAACTGCCTATCAACTATATCTATTAGTAATTACATTTTGCTAACAAAACTTTAGTATACCCCTCAGCTCTCATACTACATACACATGCTATCTTTTTTGCGAGGATGTCCCATGTTGTAGCTGTTTTCTCAAAGACTCTTAAGTTTCTTTCAATCCACAATGTATACACATATTCTGCAACTAACATTTTGAGTATTCTAGCCATTTGAGATTTTCCTTTTGTCTTATGTACTACCCATTGTTGCCACTCTATCCATAAAGATAGACTAGTTTGCATTTGAATCCATTGCATGAGTCTGCTCCACAATTCTCTGCCATATGCACATTTTGCAAACATATGCTCCTTTGTTTCCAAAGCTTGCTTACAAAAATAGCATGTTTCATCCACTTGAATCTTCCATTTCTTCAGTTTGTCAGCAGTTTAGAGTCTATCATGCATTAGCAATCACAATATAAATACTGCTTTTGGCCTGGCCTGATTCTGATACATTAGACCTTTCCATGCTATCTTTGGCATCTCTCCTATCAGCTTCATGTATACCTGTTTGATCATTGTCTTCTGTTTGCCTTGATTGCTATTGATCCCTGCCACATAACTTCTTGCTTCAAATACTTTCTTCAGCATCCAGGAAGTCTGTTGTGGTACCCTCATAGTAAGAAAAGACTGATCTTTAATGTAATAACTATGGATCCATTTGATCCACAATTTGTCCTTCTTATTTGCTAGTTCCCATGTAGACTTTGTTATTGCTGCTTTATTCCACAATGCCAGATTAACCAAATTTAGCCCCCTACAATTTTAGGTGAGCACATCTTCTCCCAAGATACCAGAGCCTTTTTTGTGATCACATTCTCCCCTGACCAAACATAACTTCTACAATAAGCTTCAATTGTCTTGGCAACCTTAGCTGGCACGCTGAAAATCTGAGCCCAGTATGCTTGAATACCAAAGATGACATGCTAAACCAATTGAATTCTACCTGCATATGACAATTTCTTAGCTGTGCAAGATGAGATTCTTGCCACTATTTTGTCAATAAGTGGTTGTCATTGCATGATTCATAGCTTTTTAGAATCAAGTGGTATGCCTAAATATTTGAAAGGCAATGACCCCTGACTATACCCCAGCTTTCCTTGTATCTCCTTTTGAGCCTCCACACTGACTCCTCTATAATAGATGGAACTTTTGCTAGGTCAACACTAAGTCCTGAAGCTGCTGAAAAGATCTAGAACCTGTTATGTATTAAACTTACTGAAGTTGCATCTCCTCTTGCAAAAATCAGAAGGTCATCTGCAAAACTCAAATGAGTTAAGTCCAACCTTGCATACAAAGGATGGAAATGGTATGCTTTCTCCTACTTTAAGGTCTTTAAGTTCCTGTTGAGATACTCCATGGCTATGGCAAATAAGAAGGGTGACATAGGGTCCCCTTGCCTCGGTCCTCTAGCTGCATCAAAAGGCTTTGTTGTTTCACCATTTACAAGAACTGTATAGTTTACTATTGTCACACATTCCATGATCCATTTAATGAATTTAGTTAGGAAGCCCAATTCATCTAGCATTTGATGCAAGTATCTCCAATCAATTGTGTCATAAGCTTTTTGGATATCCACTTTGATAAGGCATCTAGGAGAAATGTTATTCCTAGAATAAGCTTTGACTAGTTCATGAGCAAGTATCACATTATCTGCAACCTTTCTTCCTGGGATGAATCCAGCCTGAGTTTCTGAGATGATAGATGCAATAACTTTCTGTATTCTATTAGCTAGGACCTTAGCTATCAGTTTATATAATACAGTGCAGCAAGCTATTGGTCTGTATTCTCTGATGCTTGTAGGATTTGGGACTTTAGGCAGAATGGTGATAGCTGTACAATTCACTGTCCTATATAACTTCCCTGTGGTAAAAAATCTTTTGACTGCTTGGCAAACGTCATCACCTATAATTGGTCATCCTTTCTTGAAAAATACTACATTGTAACCATCTACCCCTGGAGCTTTATCATTTCCAATAACACATAGACCTTCATATATTTCTTGCTCAGTAACTTCTGCAATCAAGTTCATCTGCTGTTCATGATTAAGAACTGGCCCATTCTTCATTGTTTGTTTATTGACTGCATGTAAATTCCCAATTATTGCCCCCATCAAGGCTTTGTAGAAACTGATGATCTCTGCTTGTATCTGCTGCTGGTCAGTTATTTTGTTTCCAAAGCTATCTTGTAGCTCTGTGATAACTTTTCTCTGCCTTCTTTCCTTCATTATTGCTGAGAAATATTTAGAATTGGCATCCCCTAGTCTTAACCATGTAGCTCGAGCCTTCTGTTGCAGTATGCTTTCTTCAATTAATGACCATTTCTCCAAGTTCTCTAAGGCTTGTTTTTCCTCACTAGCTAGTTTGTCTGAATAACCTTTTAATATTTGAGCTTGAATACACTGTAGTAAACTCCTTGTTGATTCCAGCTTATCTGTGATGCCCTTGAATTCACTGTTGTTGAGATGCTTCAACAAAGATCTCAGAAACTTCAACTTCTGTCATATATTCTTCATAGGGTCATGATCATATTGTTCTTTCCATACTCCTTCCACAAGTGACATAAAGCTTGAATGTTCTGTCCAAATATTAAAAAATCTGAAAGGAATTTTGCCACTTGGTACTAATCTTCTTATAGGGATAACCATTGGAGTATGATCTGAAATGAATGGAAGTCTATATTCTTCTTCCATATGTACATAAGCTTGCACCCATTCATCATTCCCTAAAGCTCTATCAATCCTGCTATATACTCTATCTAATCCTTGTTGTTTATTCGACCATGTCTAGTAATCTCCTCGCCATGCCAGTTCATTCAAATTTAGAGTTTGCATATAATCATTAAAGTCTTGTATTTCATTTCTTGTAACTGTTTTCCCACAAATTTTGTCTTGAATTGTTAAGATAGAGTTAAAGTCCCCTAGATGATCCGTGGTTCAGTATTCTGAGGTGCATCAACTTTTAGTTGTTGCCATAAAGGTTTCCTTGCTTCAGTAGTATTAAATCCATACACTATTGTCATAAGACAATTTATAGTATTCGGTCTGCCTACAACTCTACAATGAATTGTTTGAGCATATTTTCCTAAAACTGTAATGATATAACTCTGAGGATCCCAAAGAATCCAAATTCTCCTATTTATTGCATAATCATAATTGTAGTGAGCTTGTCAACCAGGTGCCACTAACTGTGAGATCTGAGCTGTTTTTTCCTTCTTTACCCTTTATATAGGTACCCAACTCCTTTTGTTTGTATCTCTTGTTGGTACCCCTTATGTTCCATACCATCCAAGACATAATCAAAGTCGAGAATGCCCACCTATATTAGGTGGTTTCAAGGTTTCTATCACAGTTGTACTCGGGATTGTTTGAGATCTTTGTTTCACTGGAGACATTATAGCTTTGGCATAGGTCATTGGAGTGTCATCTGCTTTCATTTTCCCTTTATCTAATTGCCTGCTTACTTCTACTGTTTTCTCTTTTTGCTGATGATCTTCCTTACCTTCTGTTAGCTTAGAAGTGCTCACATCTTCCTTGCTAGCTTCTTCAATTTGTTTTTGGCTCATTTCATCAGTTATAACTATTTCCGGCTCCTTAATCCTCCATATTTGTTTCACTGGTGGTGGCTTCCTTCTCCTAGGCTGGGGAATTTGTTTGTCACCTTCCTTTGAAATTCTACTACAATTCTGTCCGCTATTTAAGCATTTGTCACAGAACTCCGGTTTCCAATCAAATTCAACTGCTTGCTCAAAAATCACCCCTTCATCATTCATGACTGGAATGCTAGTTGGCAAAGGCTTTGTAACATTCACTTCTATTAGGATTCTAACATAGGAAATTCTTGTCTGTTTAGCAGTACACTCATCTGCAAACATAGGAATCCCTATTGTGCTTGCTATTCTACTCAGTGAGTTCTCACTCCAGCAATTCATGGGAAGTTTTGGAAACCTTACCCATAATGGAATGTCTGTCATGAACTCTGCTGCAAAATCAAAGTAAGGAGACCAGTGTTTCATTATCATTGGTCTATTATTCATTGTATAAGGCCCAACACACATTATTTCCTTCATATCCTCCAATGATTGAAATCTCACAATATAATACCCT